TAAATAGTGTAGTCTATATTTTATTTTAAGTCTATGATTTGAGATTAATTCTATAAAATTTAGTACCCATTAATGTTTCTGTTGATTATAACCTATTACTGATGTATTATTGTTAACATAAAATTGCTAATGTTGCTAATGAAATGGTTTTTTATTGCAAACATTATCTATTTTTTGCTATATTATTTTAGCAATAAGTCAGTTAATAAGTTATAACAAAATAGAAAGTTTAATGGATAATAAGATTTAAAATTAACAATATTACTAATACATCTTAAATTAGTACTTTCCTGAACGTTACATTAGCAACGTTTCAATAATATTGTGTTTTTCAACCTTGCACTGCAATGTAATTTGGCGGAAGATTAAGCTACCCTGCCACCTTGCCTAAACCTCCCTACAATGAAAAAAGCAATGTTACACCTTGCTTTGCGAAGTGTTTGCGAAGTTTTGGCAATGTTCCAGCAATAAATTTTGCTTGTTGGGTTTGATCGCCCTGTATATCAACAATTTAAATTGTCTGTTTTAATGTAACTTTTACTATGGTTCTATGTATATTGAAATTTATATGTACAAATATATATACATATGGGGAAATTAAAACAACTTTGGTTGCACGTCATCAATGACACCATGCGTCGTCTTATGGAGTTTGCTGGTGGTCGTATTATGATGTGCAACCAAAGTTATTTTAATTTCCCTATATGTATGTACCTTTAAATCAATAAATTTGTATTTTTGAAACATTTCTTATTTGCATATTTTCATTATTCTTGTGCATATTTTGACCAAAACGGTTACATATTTATGCGCATATTTTTAGGATTTTCACTTGCATATTTGGGTGAGCTTATTTATTATAGTCTCAATAACTGCACTAGCAAAAAACTAAAATACTTAAATATTATGACAAAACTATGGAGGCTAGACAAAACCCTTGGACAAAACCACGATTTGAATATTATTTCAATGCGATTAACATGACGGCGGCGTGAAGTAACTAATGATAATTTTTGATTTCTGCCGTAGAGTGCGCTGCAGTCGGAATTTGTTGAAATCAACTGAAATGCACCAAGCCTATAATGGAGTCATAATTGGGGCTATTTCGGCTATAACCATAGACAAAGAAATAAAAAATATATAATTAAATTAATAAATAAAAAAAAATATTTCTTTGTTCCTATAACGAAATTTTTTAAAGGTACATAATTATAATTTTAGAAGATGTTCATAAAACATGTAATCACTAGTTGATTAAAACAAGTATACCATTAATATTGTAAATTATATTTTATCCTCATAGGTGTATGTCTACTTAATTTTTTGGTCATGTAATGAGCACACCATAGAGAAAGATAATAAAAACCTTTTTATTTCTTTCTCTATATGCTTGAATCTATTTTTGCTTTTGATCAAATCGGTGAGAGAAAATATGAAGCTATAAAATGTTGTTTCGGGAGAGTTGAACCTAATTATTCAATCATTGAATATTATTGCACCCAACAACGCTCTAATTATGCACTCCTTTACGTGTTAATCAATTTTTCAATTTTCTTAATATTTGAAATTGTCACAACATAACACGACGCCTAGTTCGGATACTTTTTCGCTCATTTTTTACTATCCTTACTACCCGTAACAGAGTTACATCACACAAACCTCGTACCTAAGTGTTTTATAGTTTCAATAACTGCACTAGCAAAAAACTAAAATACTTATACAGGGTGGCCCATCGAAAACGTCCCGTAAGGCATAACGGCCAGAGTAATTTTTTTTTTCAGAAAATTCAAAAACACGTCAATTTTGTTTGTGAGGCGGACAACTTTTACCCCAAGAATGATTGCAAAATCTTCAACCCTCTAAGCGGGGGTGTCATCCCCCATTTTTTTTTCAAATGGGAAGGGAGGTCAAGTAGTACCGCAATGAAAAGGGCTTTCTATTCTCTATACTTTCCGGCTTCGTTTTTGAAAATCGGTCGAGTCATTGAGAAAATATGAAGGAATGCAATTTGAAAAGTTTATTTAAACATTTATCAGAGTAAATGATAAGGATAAATTCCTTCGATCAATTTGCTGTTTTTTCTTATTATTTCTAGATGTTTACGCATTTTTTCACTTGCAACAAGGTTGAACGATCAGGTGCGGTAATTGCTAGATAGCTGTTCTGTGACCTATGCGTTAAAGTTCTTCTCAATATCGTTAAATTTTTTAACAATTATTATGGTATACTCACTTACAGAAAAAGTGGAAATAATCGAACTTTATTTTAAAAATAATGAATGTGGCAATCGGGTTGCGCAGATATTCAATGAACGCCATCCTGACAACCACCTTTATGGCAAAATTGTTCTCGAGTTAGTAGCAAAATTTCGCGAAACTGGTTCCGTTATGAATAAAAAGAGGCAGAGGGAAAATCCTGTAGTAAATGAAGCTATGGAGGTATTCGTATTGGGCCAAGTTGCCATGGATAGTACGCTGAGTACAAGAAAATTAGCCAATGAGACCGGCGTGAATCGTACAAGTGTCTAAAGGATATTAAAAAAACGCAAGTTCCACCCGTACAAAATTCAGTTGATACAAGAACACAACGAAGACGATTTTGATCGTCGCTTGCAATTTTGTGCAACTATGAGTGAACGAGTGGCGAATGATAATTTCATATTTAATGTGTGTTTTTTGGATGAGTGTACTTTCTTTTTGACCGGTGTAGTTAATCGGCACAACTGTTGGTACTGGGCTGAAGACAACCCCAGGGGTTTTCACGAGGTGCACACACAAAACCCTCAAAAAAATTGAACGTGTGGGCTGGTATTTTTGGAAATTCTATTGTAGGTCAGTTTAACGATATTGAGAAGAACTTCAACGCCAAGTCACAGAACAGCTACTAGCAACTACCGCACCTGATCGTTCAACCTCGTGGCAAGTGAAAAAATGCGTAAACATCTAGAAATAATAAGAAAAAACCTCAAATTTGTCGAAGGAATTTATCCTTATCATTTACTCTGATAAATGTTTAAATAAACTTTTCAAATTTCAATCCTTCATATTTCCTGATTCATTGAGGAAATATGAAGGATTGAAATTTGGCCCGATTTTCAAAAACAAGGCGGGAAAATATAGAGAATAGAAAGCTCTTTTCATTGCGGCGCCACTTGACCCCCCTTCCTATTTGAAAAAAGTTGGGGGATGATACCCCCGCTCAAAGGGTTGAAGATTTCGCAATCATTTTTGGGGCAAAAGTTGTTCCCCTCACAAACAAAATTGACGTGTTTTTAGAATTTTTGAAAAAAACAATACCCTAGCCGTTATGCTTTGCGGAACGTTTTCGATGGGCCACCCTGTATATATCACAAAACCACGATTTTAATATTATTTTAATACGATCAACATGAACTGTAACCGGGACGGCGCGGCGCCGGCGTAAAATACATAACGAACATTTCTGATTTCTGCTGTATACAGCGCTACGGTCGGAATTTCTTGAAATCAACTGAAATGCACCAAGGCTGTTAAATGTATTTATTTTTACATATTAATCAACCATTTTATATGAAACTTTCAACAAAGCTTTACTGAATTGTATGAAGTCATACAATCTAAAAACGGAGTTAGGGTTAGCACAATGTAAAATGAGGGTTAGCCCGTTAATGGCGATCTCTGTCATTTTATAAGAAGAGGTGAAAGAAATAAAACGCCAAATTATTAATATAATTTTTTTATTTTAATATTAAAAAAGAAAATACAAACTGAATCTAACAATAACTGAAGCATCTAAAAAATATATAAGAAGGTTACAGTATTACCATTAAATGTAGAAATAAAATTTTGAGTGAAATAAATATTTAGGTATTTTTTTGTCGATTTTCAAGGAATTTGCACAAAAACCGGAACCAGAAATCTATGAGCATAGAATAACTTAAAAAGTATCGATTAAAAAATCGTATTTATATCACAAAAAAAATATGAAAAAAACTCACTTAAAAGCTAGTTAGAAGAAAAATTTGTATCGTATTTTTATTTATGTACAATAACTAAACATTTCGTATTTTTTGTGTCTCGGATAAAAAAAATATATTAGGAACACATTTTTGATTTTGCCAGGCGAACAGCATTTAAATCAAAACGACTGAGCATTAGGGTGTCCGTTATTTCCCAAGTTGATTTTTTTACTGCCGCCCTCTGAAATTTTAGTTTTTTGCTCTAAAAAATTATCCAACCTAAACAAGCTCTTAATTTTTAATTTAAACCGTGCCGGAATCATGATACTTTTCCCACTTAAATAACATGGGATTTCTGACATTTTACATTTAATTTTTTATCACCAAAGCAAATGAGCTTCGACAAAGAGACATATTCTAATACAAAATTTTACGCTATACAAAAAAGGTATCTTTGGATTTTTCCATAAAAACATTCGAATTCAATAAACGAATTATAATTTTGATGAATTTATCATAGATGGCGCAATATTAGTTTTCCGTATTAAGTTGGTAAAGAAATATTGTTTTATTGGAAAAAGTATGGCTCTAGATCCTTTTTTAGTCAAAATCAAAAGGCGCAATTAGAATTTGCAATGAATGATAGAAAAATTTGATTATAAACTCGGTGCATAACAACCGCGAATAACTTTTAAGCGAATGTTTTTATGAAAAAAAAACCAAAGAGACCTTTTTTGTAGAGCGTAAAATTTTGTATTAGAATCTGTCTTTGTCGAAGCTGTAGGTTCATTTGCTTTGGAGATAAAAAACTTAAATGCAATATGTCAGAAAATCCCATGTTATTTAAACGGGAGAAGTATCATGATTCCGGCACGGTTTAAATTAAAAATTAATAGGCAGCAAAAAAAATCAACTTGGGAAATAACGGACACCTTACTGAACATCTTTTAAGAAACAAAAAATCAATTATTCAGTAATATACAAAATAACATTTGGGTTCCAAAGAATTTCAAAAACGTCTGTCATATCTAAAAATCAAATGGCTGTAATGTTATATATTAAAAATAAAAGACATAAAATGCAAGATAAAATATAAGAATGTATCAACAAAATTATCCATGATTTTGTATTTTTATAAGAATAAAAATCTGATAAAAAATTAAAAATACATTGACAAAAAAATTTCAATAAAATATAAAACGACTTGACTAGGTAAAAATAATCTGTGAATAAAAATTGAAAATAATTGTAGTTTGAAGTTAGGTGAATGATCTTGATATACGAGAGATCTTTAGATATGACAAGCACTCAAAATTTCCACCAATATATAAGTATATTCGACTTATAACTTAGCGATTTTATTCAATATTTAAATTCAATACAACCCTAATTATTTACACAGTTATACATACATGTTTATATCACTCAACTCTCAGCATGCACATATTTTTTGAGCGAGATTCTTTTTTTACAAAAGGAATCTCAAATTTTCGAGTATCTCGACAATGATAAAAATTTCAATCGACACAATCCAATTTATAACTGAGAAATAGTGCAGTAATAACAATAAATGTAAAAAAACAAACGTTACGGATACAAAGTCAGATAATAAATTAACATATTGTGAAAAATGAGCCCTATCATGCCAAATACTTGTATTCGTCTTTCTGGCCTTCGGTTCTCTCCAAATACTCCTTTTCAATAAGTATGTCTATGCATTTCTGAAAATAAATATAAGAATAAAATAAATATAATAAACTATGTAACTGTGCTTGTGTTTGAAAATTAAAAAAAAAAGAGTGTGTGCACTATATGTGCATATTTGAAGTGGAACTTCATATTAACATCTATTAAATTGAAGGGATATACATTTTTTTATGAATGCTTTTTATAAACTTCGAAAAATTACAGTTAATATAAAACCGTATACTATTCTAGCTTTATAATCTTATGTTGATCTCGTTGATCTTATCCAAATATACAGGGTGGTCCGAACTGTATTCCGGGATTTGATGTCAATATGACTTCTACTTGTAGAGGGCGCCACTCACAATTTTTTAACTGGTTTGAAAAGTAATAATTTTTCGTCCGTACCTGTATAAAACTACTGAGTAAAAAATACACATTTACGACTTTTTTTACGTAAAAAAGGTCTCTTGGTAAAAATCGCTATGAGTAATGGTTCTCGAGATATTTTGAATCGAAATTATCAATACCTGTCATCATTGACATAAATTAAACATGTTGACTAAATAGTTATTAGACTGAAATCATAAATTTGAAATGTTTTTGTGTCAAAAATTCAACAGAATCTGTTTTATCATCATTTTTTAGAAGAAAAATTTTTGATTAATATAAAAAAAAGTTCCCAAATTTATCATTTCAGTCAAAACTATCTACAGAACAAGTTTATTTTTTTATCAAAAAAAAAAAAAAATTACGTAGAAAATCACGGAAATGTATACTTTTTCATTCACACATGTAGGCGCCACCCCCTATAAATAGGAGTCATTTTGACATCAAAATAAGATTTATCTTGTTAAAAATCCACCACCAACCACCATCCACCAATTTTCATCCAAATATTGACATTACTTCAGAAATTATATGGAAAAAATCGAAATAAAAATGAAACTTCTACACCCTGTGTCTTCGAAACTAAGCATTTTAGGACATACATTTATACCAATTTTTTAGATATTTTTATCTGCAGACTATGCTGCCGAAGTTTCCGGAATACAGTTCGGTCCACCCTGTATATCTATATATTAATTTAGAACAAAAGTTCTTTTTTTGTGAATTTTTAGTAGTGGAGTTCCACCCAAAATACACATTTTTAGGGAAATGCCTAATAATATTAACCCCCCTTTAAATTTACTTAAGAGAAGAAATTTTGAACATGGTCCAGACATTTGTACGTTACCTGTGGTCGAGACACAGAATTTATATTTTAGTTTACTGATTTTAATCCTAATGATTGGATTGGAAACATTTTGGTCACTATGGAAAGGCAAATGGAAGGAGATGATATCGCGTACAAAAGGAAAAAATTATGCAGAAATTGTTACTTGTCCTTACTAAAGCATAATATGGTTTAGATCATTAAAAGATTTTCCCAGAAAAAGATTAGCATCATTCTTCAGGTTAAGAAGTAAACATTGTCTAATTCCATCCCATTTACATCGTATAGGTGTAAATTTCCTATTCCTTTTGCGATTGTGGAGAAATTGAAACGTTAAACCATATTCCTTTTGAATGCAATACATTTCCTGCTTTAGTAGATAGACTATGTCAATCACTTACTGCCTTTTATAAAATAGTTATTAAATTTAACATATGAAATATAATTTTTCACAGGATTTTCGTTTGGTAACATTTTGTTCAACAGTCGGGGTATGGGATTTCCCGGACTCGCTTCTATGGTGGTCCTCATCTATCATTACGTAAGCCTTCAAGATAGAGATATAAGTTTCGTAGACATTTAATTCTATCATTCGGCCGGATAGCCCTGGCAGCTGTGGCCATTAAACCAAAATACTATTACTAACCAACAATTCGTGTGATCTGTGGTCTGTTTTTGTTTAAATATTTTGTTCATTATTTATTACTTATATTAATTATTTATAGTGATTTACAGTAATTTTATTAAATATACGAACATTCTCGTTGGTTATTGGTTTGAAATAAATATGACGGTGTCCTTCAATGAAAATGCGAGTTACTAATTCTAATTCTAAGCTGGCAATTGAGCCGGATTTTTTACCTACACCGTTATTCAGAAGCTACAAGCCTACCAATGAAAATGTGCATAAAAATTTAATTCCTAGCACACAAATAGAGGATATTCGTACACAGGTACAGTATCAAGTTTATTATGGTGATTTTCCTAGCCGCGTATGGCATAAACCATTACCCAGAGCGAGTTAAATTGTTTTACAAATGGGTAGATCTACCCTGAATTTAGTGTAGCTGTGGCAACACTGCCGTTACCAAGTCCTTTCGCAACCTCGTGTGTCACTGCCTTGAATTTTTACTCCCAAAACGCGTAAAGAAGTTTCACTTCAAAAATTTATCAAAGCCACTGGATTATAATTATACTTATTCTTCAAATGAACCTACAGCCCTGAAAAATGTATAGTTGTTTTTATACTTTTTTACTATACCCTGTCCAATGAAACCGGGAATATTTCGACAGACGACAGAAAATACAATTTACCTGCGAATTAAACTGACACACAGAACGGTCACTATCATGGATCCTCTCATTGGACAGACTATACTTGTCAAAATTAATTAGATTGTTAATTTTATGAATTTTATTTAGTTGTTCTAGTAGCTTATCTGTTGTTATTAAATTTAAATAATTACCATTAATTTCCAAATTTATAAAAACACTTACCTTAATAGTCTGAACCCTTGGCTTAAATCTGGATGATAATTGGTTAAGCACTTCAGCTACAAGCTGTTGATGCTGATGTACCTACAAAAACATAATAATTCGTTAATTAAAAATACTTCAGATCATTATTCTACACCTATTTGACAGGGTGTTCAAACTTACCTTTCTCATTTTCATTATTCTAACTATAGCTGCTTGAATTAATAGTTTTCTGTCTTCTTCAATGTGCTTATGTGTGGTTTCCTGTTCCATTTTCAGTTCGGTTTTCATGGGTATGTTAATGTTGACGCGCAGTTTTTTACTAAAAACAAAAGACGATAAATTTAAAGCCTTACCTTAAAAGAAAGTAAATATTACTTTTTGAATCCTAAATTGACAGATACAGTGGAATTCCCTGTAATGTCGTTCTCGTCTTCATCGCAAACCACTAATTTTGCCTTGAGTAAAATTTGAATAACCTGGTATAAGACAAATTTAGAATTAATGAATGAAAATATAAAGTATTTGAAGTCAACCTGACCAGTGGTGACATGGATAAGCGTTTACGCATCTCATTTTTTTTACGTTTTGTCAGAAAATACAGGTAAAAAATGTAAGACTAATAAAATAGACTGTAGACGAATTGCGAATATTGTTGTTATTGTCGATTTCAAAAGAATACAGAGGCGGCAAAATTGACAGAAAGTTGTTTTAATATTTTGCGAATTTGCATAGTTTAAAATCTGGGGGGCGATAATATTGAAACTGATTTAATTTTTGCGAATATTCGCCGTGAATTTTCATTTTGACTTTTTAGGTTATAATATGTCATGTCTTGGTTTTCTTGATATAAAGTTGACATACATATTTAAAATCAAAATGTTATGACATATATGTCAGTTGCCGTCTAAAATGTAATCTTGATAACAAAAAGTTAATTATTGTCACAGAGAAGTTAAAATATTAAAATTCGCAAGTTATAATTAGTAAGTAATTAGATAATTCTATTATATTTTATATAATTTCAAAAGCAAAACATAATCGTCCGTGAAATGTGATAAACTGCTAACTCCATTATTCCTAATTTTACAGATTTTATTAAATTTTTATTATTTTTCTCCTTATTTTTTTAATTTTTATAAAAATTATGTATCATTTATGCGGAAAAACGTGAAAAAAAATAAAACTGATCAGGTATTATGGAAATTCTTGTACAAGTAAGTAATGTCATTTAAACTATTTATAGCACACCGATGAATTGCTTGTATATAGAGAATTTCATTTTTCCCCTTACCCTTTACGGATACCCCGTATTTACAGAACGGATCGACGCAGATATTCTATATATAACTATAGGGGAGCCCCAGTCTTCGCGCGCCCCCTTTATAGTTCATTATTTATTCTTAACAATATTTGCATTTGCATTGCATTATGGCATTTGCATTGCATTGGTTTACCTTGCATTAGGGTAGTTCCCTGATTTATATACAGGTTGAGTCTTAAATAAGTGCAAATATTTTCAGGGCTGGTAAATCTCAATAAAAGAAACATATTTTCTCTTTACCGTTTTTTCAAATAAATCCAAAACAACCGAGTTATTTCACGTTTAAAATTTCCAATTTTTTGCTATAATTTTGAGAATCATTGGATTTTCTTTCTTGTAAATTTAATCTTGCCATATTACAAACAAAGTATGTTTTTAAAATAAAAAAATAAAAAAAAATCCAAAATTTTTTTTAAAAAAATTCCAGACTTTCCAAAAAAAAATTCGACCAAAAAACCTCATAATCGTATTCCTTAGGTCGAAATATACTACCCCTAGAAATATTTGCATTTATTTAAGACTCACTCTGTATATAATAGGGAAAAATTGACCAAAACGTAAGGCGAAAAAATACACAAAAAAATCCACACGGGCCCCTTCTTACATTGCCACCCGGGCCCCTTTGGCCTAGTGCGACTCTGGATCGAAATACTGTCCTAAAGAAACATACGAGTAAGAATCCGTGTGTTTGCTTTAGCGTGATCGTAACGGAAATTATGGACTTAGCAGCATTTCGGTGGCTATTTCAGATCACTGGGAGTTAGCAGATATTATTGAGTTAAAATTGCAAATTTTCTTTAATGGGAAAAAATGTATTTGCTTTCCCTACTTATAGAGTATTTTTTTCTCTTTCTAATGGTATAAAAAACTTATTAACGTAAAAAATGGAGTTAGCAGATTATCACGTAATAGTGTAATTTTGATATGGTTCAAAAGAAAGAGTGCTGTTACATTTTTCAGTTTTTGTTGTCAGCAGCGGAAGTTTCGATAGTTTTAGTGTTGTGGGATATTATTTGTGAAAAAGAAATGTTACGTTAGTATTGCCAAACTAAAAGTGGCAGTTTTTAAGTAGCATTTGTCCATTTTATATTTTACTTTTTTCATACCTACGACAAATATACATAATATTGTCAAGGTGTATTACTGGTTGCATAACTGCATACTGCTAAATAATCGCAACGTGCATTGAGGAACCTGGCGCATTCGCCAGAAAGTAAAAGAAAATTATATAGAATTCTTTAGAAAATTCCAGAAACCATCGCCAGGAGGTATATAAGGCCCGCGCTTTGACAGTTGAAGTCTGAAGATAGTCTGAAGTCTGAAGTTTGAAAATACCGCGAAATACCGTTAGAGTAATAGTAGTTGCATAAATTGTGTTGTAAATAGTATAAGTTGTGTGTACAGAGTGAGACAAATAAATTCGTTAAGTATTTTATCGTGAGTTTAAATAGTGGACCCACGGAATCCGTAACAATTGGTGTCGGAAGTGCGACTCAAGAGGATTTTAAGAAGAAATTAAGTGGATTGGAAGATTTTTAGACCGAATTTAAGTATTTTTATGGTTGGTACAAGGGAGCAAGCGAAGAAAATGGAGGAAGTAAGCAAATTATTGGGCGATTTTATGGAGAATATGAGAAGAGAGAAAGAAGAGGAACAAGACCGTCTACAGAAAATACTTATGGAAAATCAAGAAAAAATGTTAGAAAGTTTAGAAGCGCGTCAAAAGAAAGGTCAAACAGGACCGGCAAGACAAAATTTTCGAAGATTTGAAAATTCAACGACAACAAGACAAACAAGAAGAACAGGACCGGCTTGAAAAAATTCTCGAAGATTTCAAAGTTCAACGAGAGCACGACAAACAAGAAGAACAGGACCGGCTTCAGAAAATTCTTGAAAATCAAGAAATTAGACAAGAACGGTTGGAGAAAATTGTTGAAGATTTAGAAGTGCGTCGCCAGAAAGAAAAATTAGAAGATCAAAACCGATTTAAGAAGAACTTTGAAGAACTGAAAAAAAGGCAAGACATCCACCTTCAAGAAGCCGTAGAAGATCTTGAGGAACGCCTTCAGCAGAAAATGGAAAAATTAGAGATGGACCTACAGAAGACCAAGGTACAAGTAAAGACACCTGGCGTTCATGGAACTGCGAACCTCAAGGCCCCGACCTACGATGGACAAACCACCTGGACGATGTACCACCGCCAGTTTGAAGCAGCCGCCGCTGCCAACGGATGGACTGACCAGGAGAAAGCAGCGGCACTTGTCATCGCGCTGCGTGGCCCTGCCCTGGAACTGTTGCAAACTATTCCTGCAGCCCAACAGCAGGAATACCAAACTTTGGTCGCTGCACTGGACAGAAGATATGGCGACCAACATCGACGCCAACTTTACCAGGCACAGATCAAGACACGCCTGCAGAGGTCCGGAGAGAGTCTGCAGGAATTTGAAGCAGACTTACGTCGGCTGGTACACCTAGCGTATCCTGAAGCACCGGAAGGATTTAGGGAGGAACTCGCTGCTCAGTGCTTTATCAGCGGACTGAGGGACAACGAATTACAGAGGGCGCTGCAAATATCCCGATTTTCTACCAGCAGCGAAGCACTGGTCAGGGCGCTAGAAATTGAAGCTGCTTTTAGCGCCATCCCTAGACCGAAGATAAGATCGGTAACGGTCGAGGAACAGCCCGGAAGTTCTCACATACGTTTGGAGGAGATGTTTAGTAAACTATGTGAGTTACTAGTGAACAAGGGTAGCAACAACACCCAGACAGAGAACCATAGAAGATCCCAGGACATAAGGTGCTTTAGATGGGGCAGGAATGGCCACATTAAACGGGATTGCCGCGTTCAAATGCGATCCCGTTCACCATCCAGAGAACGTAGGCACCAGGAAAACTAAAATCAGTCAATACTAAGGGGCAAGTCTTGACTGGGGAGAACAGAGCCCCCAGGATTTTTTCCATTAGGAGTTTAGGAAGAACCGCTGACAGTTTGGTGATCGACGGGAAGGTCAATGGTAGGAGAATCCGAATGACAGTGGACACTGGCGCTATGGTATCGTTGGTACGGGCCAACTCAGTGCAAGGGTTGAAGCTGATGCCTCTGAGAAGAAGAGTGTGTTTACGTACAGTTACGGGGAAATGGCCGTTGTACGGGGAGAGGCTATCGTCGAACTGAAGTTAGGAAATTTGAAGTTCCAGCATAGCGTCTTAGTGGCAGATATTGAAGGTGACTTCATCTTGGGCATGGATGTGATTCGTCAACATGGATTTTCGTTCGATCACCAGAGAAATATCCTGAATATCGGAAATGAAGAGTTTATGTTATCTCCAGACGAGGGATCAGGAAGAATGGATGTAAGATCAGCGGAAACGTGGTGATACCTGGTAATACCGAGAAGATCATATTCGGTAAAGTGGAGAAAATCGCTGGGTGCTGTGTTGGACTGGTACAAAGTGTCGACAAGAAACAAGATAGGTACTTAGTAGGAAAATCATTGGTGAACACCGACAAGAATATACCGATCAGAGTTGCGAATGTTTTCCCGAATTGTGTCAAGATTCAAAAAGGTGACAAGATAGCCATCTGCGAACCTGTAAGAAGTGTCACCCGATGTGATGAAGTGTCGTCAGCTGTTACACAAAAGGCATCCCAAGAAACACTAAAACATCTAGAACAGCCATGGGATCACCTAACACCTGAGGAGAAACAGAAGGCCAAGCAGTTCCTGCTAAAGCATGGCAGTATTTTTGAGAAGAACAACAGTGGAAGAACGGATTTTTTGAAGCACCGGATTAATACTAGTCATGCTCAGCCGATTCGACAACGTCCTAGAAGGGTGTCCCTTTCCAAATAACAAGAAATCGAGACAATGGTAGATAAGATGTTAGAAGATGGAATAATCGAAGAATCATCAAGTCCATGGTCATCTCCTGTTGTTTTGGTGACGAAGAAAGATGGTGGTACACGATTCTGCGTGGATTATAGGAAGCTCAATGACGTCACTAAGAAAGATAGCTACCCACTGCCACGTATAGATGACACATTAACAACTCTGGCAGGTTCGTGCTGGTTATCCACTCTCGACTTAAAGAGTGGATACTGGCAAGTTGGTCCAGACGAGGAAGACAAAGAAAAGACGGCTTTTTCTACAGGAAACGGACTATATCAATTCAAGGTCATGCCGTTTGGATTATGCAATGCTCCAGCCACTTTCGAACGTCTCATGGAGGTGGTGTTAAGAGGATTAACTTGGAAAACGTGCTTGGTTTACCTCGACGATGTATTGGTTATGGGAAGAACTTTTGAGGAGCATTTGCGAAATTTAGAAGAAGTCTTCGGCCGCATAAGGAATGCGCACCTGTACTTGAACAGCGACAAGTGGAATTCTTGGGTCATGTAGTTTCGGCAGCCGGAATTTACACCGATCAGAAGAAAATCGCTGCAATCAAGGATTGGCCTAAACCTCGCGACAAACATGAACTTAGAAGTTTTCTGGGTTTATGCACCTATTACAGAAGATTTGTCAAGGGATTTGCCAATATAGCTGCACCCTTACATAGACTTACAGGTGATGAAGTCGGCTACGAATGGAACACCGATTGTGATGTAGCCTTTGGAAGACTTAAGGCGGCTTTATGTTCAAGTCCTATTCTAGCCTACCCGCAACAACAAGGGAGGTATATCCTGGATACCGACGCCAGCAATATCGGCATAGGTGCAGTGCTATCACAAGTGCAAGATGGCGAAGAACGAGTGATAGAATATTACAGTCGAGTTCTATCCAAACCAGAAAGGAATTACTGCGTTACCCGGAAGGAGCTGCTAGCAATTGTGAAGGCAGTTGATCATTTTCATAAATATCTGTACGGCCAAGAATTTTTAATTAGGACAGATCATGCGGCTCTCAAGTGGCTTATGGAGATGAAACAACCTGAAGGTCAAATAGCACGATGGCTCGAGAAGCTCCAACAGTATCACTTTACCATCCAACATCGTCTGGAAAAATGCATGGTAACGCAGACGGTTTATCCAGAAGACCCTGTCAAACCGATTGTAAGCACTGCTGTAAAAGGGAACAACGTGAAGACACTGTCATGATAAGGAGTTTTAAACTTGGAACCGATGAACAGTGGACGACGGCACAATTGAGGAAAGATCAAATGGAAGATCCAGACATCGGAGCAATACTACGGCTCAAGGAAGGTAACGGCGAGAGACCACCGTGGCAGGATATTGCGGACAGAGGGCTGGTTTTCAAAGCTCTCTGGGCTCAGTGGAATTCACGGGTGATTGAGAATGGATTGTTAAAGCGCACGTGGGAAAGTGCAGATGGCAGGACAGTAACAACTCAGTTACTGGTACCAAGGAAGAAAGTTACCCAGGTATTGGAAGAAATTCACGGTGGTAAAACTGGAGCCCATCTTGGAGTAAACAAGACCTTGAGCAAGCTGAGAGATCGTTTTTACTGGGTGGATTATTGCGAAGATGTCAAGAAATGGTGTCGACAATGTAAAACTTGTGCAGCTAGCCAAGGATCAAGCACTCGATCTAGGAGAAAAATGAAACACTGTTGACATTGCAGGCCCATTCCCTGAAACGCACAAGGGCAACAAGTACGTTTTAGTGGCGATGGATTATTTCAGTAAATGGCCAGAAGTTTTTGCCATTCCAAACCAAGAAGCATCGACTGTAGCTGAAGTATTAGTCAATAATGTCTTCAGTAGATTTGGAATTCCTTTAGAGCTTCACACTGACCAAGGAAGGAACTTCGAGTCAAGACTGTTCCAGAAGATGTGTGATCTGCTTGGTATTCACAAGACTAGGACAACAGCTTTACATCCGCAGTCTGATGGGATGGTCGAGAGATTCAATAAGACCATTGAAGAACATCTCTCGAAAATGGTGGATGAACATCAAAGAGATTGGGATCAGCATATACCACTATTCCTAATGGCATATAGAAGTGCAGTTCACAACACCACCGGACTTTCACCATCGAAGATTTTATTTGGTCGAGAATTACGGTTGCCTTGTGACTTGGTGTTCGGATCACCAGACGACAGCACCACGAACGTAGAGGACTACGCGGATGAACTGAAGGAAAGGTTATTGGGAATTCATAAGGCCGTGAGAAGTAAGATTACGCTAGCCAGTGACCGGATGAAAGCTCGTTACGACCTCAGAGCTAATTCTACGGGATTTCAACAGGACGATATGGTATGGTTATATAACCCACAGCGCAAGAAAGGGAGGTCCCCAAAGTTAACTCCAGCATGGGAAGGTCCTTATACAGTCATCAAGAGGATAAATGATGTTGTGTACCGGATTCAACGCAGCCCTAGAAGTAAGATGAAAGTAGTTCATCTGGATCGATTGAAGAGATACCAGACAGGAAACCTTGATCGGGACGATCAAATTTGAGAAGGGGCAATGTCAAGGTGTATTACTGGTTGCATAACTGCATACTGCTAAATAATCGCAACGTGCATTGAGGAACCTGGTGCATTCGCCAGAAAGTAAAAGAAAATTATAGAATTCTTTAGAAAATTCCAGAAACCATCGCCAGGGGTATATAAGGCCCGCGCTTTGACAGTTGGAAGTCTGAAGATAGTCTGAAGTCTGAAGTTTGAAAATACCGCGAAATACCGTTAGAGTAATAGTAGTTGCATAAATTGTGTTGTAAATAGTATAAGTTGTGTGTACAGAGTGAGACAAATAAATTCGTTAAGTATTTTATCGTGAGTTTAAATAGTGGACCCACGGAATCCGTAACAATATATTTAAATTTTATGTTCGTTTTATTTAAAAAGATGTTAGAAACCAAGTCTGTAAAAATTGACATTGACAGTTTTGAAATTAAAAAAAAAACGTTTCAGAAATCAATTATATAAATAGGTGCCATGCTAACGTTAATTACGTACTCCTTGAAATACTAATTGTAAATTCTTTCCTTAATTTTTGTTTACATGACAATGCAACCATAGGGGTTATAAATGTTGTGCCTTGCATTAACTGTCTATTAGTAAAAATATCTTTTTAAAAAGATCATGCAAAGATCAATAACAGATAACAGCGTTTCTAGAAAAACTCTACAAATCTGTGGATGTAGACCTTTTACAATTTCATAACACGTAAAATACCTGCCACATAAAACCCAGGGATGGTCGGATTCTTTACACGCCCATCCCTGGTTATGATATAAAAGCAAGAACCTGTATAAGAAAATCTTGTTTGATCTGAGTGTTCTCCTCTAATTGTGCCACAGTCCAAGTATCTGATACGTTGAACTGTAGTAAAACAGCCATTTGAAAAGTGCTTGCTTGCAGTGTATACCTGTATTAAAAAAATACGGAATTATTAAAAACAAAGGTTGATTTTCTTTTAACTTCTTATACCTATTTTTAAAAGCATTTGTGTTCAGTTCTCCTTTAGACATGTTATACATCCAGTTGAGCTTTCTACCAGAATGCTGACTGGCATAAAAATTTGTAAACCTACTCACACTTCTTTCAAGCTAAAAATTTTTTTGAAATAAAAATTAGGACATTTTTTACAATGAAAAACTACTGTATAGGGTGTCCCATTTTGGTTGAAATCATACGATATCTCCGTTATTAGTAAAGATCTTTGAATAAGAAGACTAAGGAAGGAGCATATCAAAAATCTTAGGTACACCACGATGGGCCTCAAATATGGCCGACTTAAATTCCGGTTTATCAGTGTCGTTCTAATTTTATTTAAAAAATGTAAAACTATGATGTAGGGTAGACGTGGGGTAGACTCAATAATTTGTTGTTTTATTTTACGTTGTGAATAAATGTTGGTAGTTGTTAAAATTGTTATAAAAATATATAATTCTAATAAAAATAGATAAGTTATAATAAGTATTTATTAACACAAACATCCGATACGCTACTGAAGCAGGTAAGTCAAATTAACGTATCTAAATTCTTTGACATCTAATCTTTGACAAGTAATAAATAAAAGCTAAACATGCAAGAAAAAAATATAATTTAGTTAATTTAAGTGAATTTCATAAATGATCGGTTTACTACACGTATGTATATTATATAGTCACTTACTAGCGAAAAGTTGTTCCATTATTTCACTCAATTTTTGTCGAGATCTACCGCACGCTACACAACCAACTATTTTTAGAGTCTTTTATATAATAAATCGCGATAAATCGCGATAGTGTCACTGTTAATTTAAGTTCTGCCACAATTTCCATCTAGATTTACTACCTTTTTACAACTATCAGTAGTAGAATAAATAATAAATAACATAAAATAAGCTCCGTAAAGACTGACAAATCCACAAAATTTCAAATCAAATTCAGATGTGTCAAATGAATCGTCAAACAGAACTGTCAAGGATCCCCACCCTAGAGAGCTTTTATGGTGGCTTTTCCGCCCACCATGCATGAATACATGGATACCATTATGCTCCTTCCTTAGTCTTCTTATTCAAAGGTAAAGATAGAAGGATGCGGTTTGCACAAACCAACTGTCCCACTTTTTTGTCAAACAGAAGATGCTGTAAACAATTTTTCATAGCCCTCTTCGTTTCTCAGCTACAGGGTCTTTTCGAAAATTTTGCAATTTGGGACAGCCCCCGTATCTCCGTTATTATGGATGATATCGAGAAGTTGAAAACTAATTCTTGTAGAACTTTTTACCTAGAATACAGTGGCGTAATATGTTTTTCTACGAAAAAATATTTTTGAAAGCATGAACTAAAGTTATGTTTTTTCAAACGGAACACCCTGTATATTTATAAATCATATGATCCGTCTTGCTATGAGTTTCTCAAAAATATATATCACTCTATATTTATTTTCACTATTTACTGCAATATTTAAAATATAAAACTATCTTATTAGTAGGCTGTGATAAATAACAAAAAAATCAAAATGGTATTTACTAAAATAGTCATACAAATTAAAATTTTATTTGGGATTGATAAATTTTTCTTTTGAACTGTTACCACTGAATCTCTGAATATATTTTTCTTTTTTTTATAAGGGAATTTATTACAACGGGATGGATTTGCAAATATCTTAAAGCTTGCATTATTAAAGCATTTTCCAGGTGTTCGACATTGTTGTAATTTCCACGATAAATTTCATATTTCAAGAATCCTCAAAATCAGAAACCAAGAACGGTAAAATCCGGGAATCAGGGAGTAAATGGGGGTCATATGGGTCCATTGATTTCAATTCATTGATTTAAGAAATAGTAATTTAACAAAATTCTAATATTTTCAAAGTTGTGGGGGGGAGCCCCAACTGACTAAAAGTATATTTCACGTAAATTAGCTATATGAATATCTAAAAGTTACGGTACAATAGCTTCCAAGATTTATAAATAGCTCTAGAGAATAGAGAGTTAAGTTTCCCTAAGATACAGGTTGTTAACTGGACAGTTACTTATAGGGGAACAGAATGGCAACACTGCCTATTGAGAACGCATGCACTTATTTGTGCACTTATAGGGTTTTTTACCGACTCGTCCCGTCGCGTCGCAAACAATAAAGCTCTTGCCGCGAGTAATAAACAAATTGACAACCTGTATAAAGAATTTATTAGTGGCACCCAAAATAAAACAAGAGACAGATATCAGTATTTAATAATTATTTAGTTTATTTTATTATCAATCATCGCCCAAACCAAACCAAACCAAACCAAACCAAACCAAACCAAACCAAATATAATCTTTTAATATATTTTTTTAAATATTGCAGTAAATAGTGAAAATAAATATAGAGTGATATATATTTTTGAGAAGCTTATGGCAAGCCAAATCATGTAATTTATAAATATACAGGGTGTTCCGTTTTAGAAAACATAATTTTAGTTCATATCTTTAAAAATATTCTTTTCGTAGAATAGCAGACTACGCCACTGTATTCTACGTAAAAAGTTTTACAATAAACAGTTTTCACCTTCTCGATACCTTTAACAACAACAGAGATAGAGGGAGTGTCCCAAATTGCAAAATTTTCAAAAAGATCCTGTAGCTCAGAAACGAAGAGTGCTATGAAAAATTTGTTTACGGCATCTTCCGTTTGATAAAAAAAAGTGGGACAGACTTGTGCAAACCGCACCCTTCTATCTTCACGAATAACGGAAATACCGTATGATTTCAACTAAAATGGGACACCCTGTACAGGAAACTTTTTTTTACGTGTATAAAATAGTTTTTTACATTAGGGGGCGTCCATAAATTACGCTTACGCGTTTTTGGGGATATTTTGACCCCCCTCCCCTACTAGTGAGATGTGATATTTATATCGACTCCCTCCCTCCTCCACTATATCTCACGTGAGATCTTTGAAAATTTGTATTTTGAGTATAAAGGCGTTATTTAAAAAACACAATTTCCTTTATTATTTTTATTAAGACTAATTAAGACTAGTATTTGAGGTTGTAATCGAAAATCACAATAACAATTAAATAATACTTAAATAAGAACTACTAAAATTAATAGAGAACATTCATTCTAATTCTGTCCATGGAGACTAGTGCGCGTTCTTTGAGTGACTGTTGATACTAACTACAGATAATGTATTAACAAATCCATGTGATTTCAGTAAAATCATCTACTCCTTCACCTTCGCTCTGATTCAGCCACTCTAAACCATTGTTACTTGCACACCGATGTTCAGTAGCTCGTCTTATGAAATTTAAACTGCCCCCCTTTTTCAACCAAAAAAGAAACGGGTACTACAGTTTCGATTTATGAATTCTAAATAACTGTACTTTTTTTTATTTTTTTTTATTCATGGAATTTAATATACAGAAAAATTATGTCAGACTTCGAGTTTTTTTTCGATTTTCTCACATTTTTAGATTATTTCTGTCCCAAAAATTTACGTGATATTTGCCGAAATCCCCTCTCTCTTCCATTAGCGTAACTAGCAATTCGCCCTGGGGGGGCCTAGAGTTGAACCTAGGGGGGCCCAGGGATTTTTTTTTAAATTAAGAATAATATCAATAAAAATAAACACATTTTTTGAATAAAACGTTTACATTAATTTCTCTATCAATAAATTTGATAGACTTGGTTAACCCCGTGTTCCCATGGATTACTTAAATCTATCTACAAATTTTGTAAAAAAAAACATTTTTTGAACAAAGCAAAATAATATTAATTAAACAAAAATGGAAAAAGTCATTTTTACTACATGACAAGCAAATAAAAATTAATATTTAACCAAGAGTCATCGTTCAATCAAAATTCAAGATTTCTCTGGGGGGTACCCAGCAGTACCTGGAAGAGGCACCCTGTAGTTACGCCAACGCTCTCTTCCCCACGTGAGATTTAAGCCAATTTCAAGCGAATGACCGTTTGTTATGGTTGACACATAAACAGTGCTTTAAACGTCAATTGTCAATCACTCGCTAGACAACTGACGTTTAAAGCTTTCTTTATTTGTCAACCATAACCAACGGTTATTTGCTTGAAATCGGCTTTAGTGAAATTCGGCTTGGACCCCCCCCCTAGTCATAGCCCGAACAGCAATTTTTTGAAACTGTCCCAAAATGTAAATTAATGCCGTACTTGCGCCATTCTACTTCTACTCTCCCTATTTCAGTTGCCAGTAGCGGTAGACAGTTTTTCGAATTGTTTCCGACGTTGCCATTATCCTCTATATTATACGGGATGGATCTTAAATAAGTTCACATATTTTCAGGGCTGGTAGATTTCGATAAAATAAACATATTTTCTCTTTCCTATTTTATAAATAAGTCCAAAATAGCTGAGTTATTTTTTTGTAAATTAAAATAAATACGTTTTGCTTAAACTATAAAAATTACTGAATTTTTACTTTGTTCCTCTAAATTTACTCTATATCTATGTTGCTATATTATCAAGATATTATGTTTTTTAACTGAAAAATTCAAAAAAGTCCCCCAAAATTTTCGAAAAATACAAAAAATGTTCTATTGCGAAAAAACATCATGGGAAACGAAATATACCACCCCAAAAATATACGTATAAGCATGAATGAATATAAATTTATAATTTTGCTTTGAATAAAAAATTTTGTTATATACTTACGAAAATACATTCTTGGAAGTGTTTAAATGCTGTTACTAAATTTATGATACAATAACCGATTGTTTTACACTGTATAATAATGTGATCATATAATAAAAAACTACAATGTGATAATTATATTATATTTGGCAACATCTCCATGACGTCTTTTTTATTATAAAAAATTGTCTCAACCTATACTGTTTATATTAACAAAATGTATAAATAAAACGTTTCAAAAAGTTTCTGTTTCAAAACATCTGTTTTGATAATAACGAACCAATGTTTCGATAATAAACCAAACCAAACCTAGATCCTGTTCCAAAGAACCCCCCCCCCCTTTCCTCACGTAATTAAAATAAAATAAAATAATCTTTATTACATGCACAAACAAAAGAGTACATAAAAAGGTGGAAAGTACCGTATATATAAAGCGTATTTTAATAACCTCGTAACGTAATTAATGGAAGACCCCATAGAATTTTTTACTTGACCATCCTATGGTATCTATTCCTGACCACTCGCATCTCCGAGAAAGCCATATAACAATACATGTAATGCGTATACACAAAGGTGCACACATAAACGATGGCAAGAATAGTACCGCAGATTAAATATTTTCAACATACCTCAGATGGCAATCCAAAAGTAACACCTTGTTGAAAAGGCCAAGATCCTGAGGATAACACCTGGATACTAAAATCTATACCTAAATAAAAAAAGGCAGTCAAATTAAATGTGCTAAAAAAAATATAATAAAAAAAATTAATACCTAGTGTCTCGTTTGAGTTAGCCATATGGTTTCTGAACTGTTCGTTAAGATCCTTTGAAACCCCTATATCTTGGAACATTCTTTGCAGTTTGGAAGTATATTCGAAGCCACAGGCCTGCTTCAATTTTGAGATCATAGAGGCTTCTGCATCGTCGCTGGCTGACATATGCTGCACAAGTCTTTTTGCCAACATCTAGTTGAAAAAAGATTTAAAATAATTATTTGATACATAAAAATGCCAATTTCGTTTTGTACCTTGCTATAGAACTTTTGGAACACATCCTTGTCTTCTATGTATTTAAAAACTACCATCTATAAATAAATTAAAGTCAGTGCTAATCTTATTAGAAAAAGAAAAAATAGAATATTGGTGGGTTCATACAGCCAAATAAAATAAAATAAGAATAAAATAAAATAAGAAATAAGGAATTCTTATTTGTGTGCATTCATACAGTCAAATAAAATAAAATAAGAAATATATATTTGCTCATGCGCAGTACGATGAGGCTGGATAAAAGTTAACTTTTACGATTGTTTATAGTAATTTTACTATTTATAGTATATTTATTTATTCGTTGCCTACTATATTATACATTTTACTTATGTGAAATTATAAAATAAATTAAATCCAAACTGAAAATATTTGTAGGTTAGAATTAAGCGTGCGCAAAGCCGTTTTCACATAAAATAAAACAAGAAGTTAAAAGATAAAGACTTCTTATTTTATTTGTTATTTTATTTGGCTGTATGAACGCATGTACGGTATCCCATATAACCAACTTTCTTATTTTATTTTATTTTATTCTTATTTTATTTTATTTGGCTGTATGAACCCACCATATATGTACTTACAACTTGGTTAAGAGTGTCTTCTAGTTCAGCCTCTTCAGCATTTTTATTGCTTTTCTTCAACAACAAATCACAGTATTTAGCTAATAATTCTGGGGACCTGCTCGAAGAATTAGCTGATTTTGTTACTGCGTTTGTATTAATAAACCTTCCACAGGCCTAATAATTATTAACAAATTATATTAACAAACACACGACAAAAGTATATACACTAACCTTGTCTAAAGCAGCGACAAAACCACTGTCATTGCCAAAAGCCACTAATACTAAAGCGTTATATTTTTTGTGCACCTCTAGGATGGTATTTACATATACTTTAGGGTCCTGTTCACAGAAAAAAAAATAATAGTAATGATGTCACACTCATGTCTCTTACTAAAGATAAACTTACATTATGAGCACTTTCACCACATTTTTCTATAGCAGCCAAACCTTGAGCAGCAATGTGCTGTTCTAATAAGCCTCTAAGCTCACCTAAAAAAAGTAAATGTTAAAAATTTCCCAGTAAAAATTATTCATGTCTAACCTAAACCGTCAGGAATTCTCGCTACCAAACTATACATTCTACCAAGATCGTCATCTTTGTCAGCATCCAGAAGCTGCTTAAATTCTGAATGAAGCAGTTCCAAATGCTTCTGAATAAGAACTCTTTCACATGTTTTAGCTAAACGTTCACTAGTAGTCTCATGAAGGTATATCTGAACCCTTTTCTGCTCTTCTTGAAGTCTTTGTTCGGCCTAAAATAAGATTGTGATTTAAGGTTGTGTCATGCATTCTGTTGTATCAAAGCTATTTAATTCATTACCCTTTTCATGTATTCTGTAACAGGGTTTTCAGCCAAAAATGCATTACTTTCCCTGGTATAAAACCTTTCTGTGTCCTCCAAGAAGACATTTTCGAAGCTCTCTTTGTATACACTTAAGTTAGGACCTTTAGCCCCTGGTTCCTCTTCATTCAGTCCTAATTCCACATAACAATTTATTACACCTGATACTAGACGGGTGTTAATTGTTTCTCCGTGGCGTTCTTTTTCTATTAACTTTAAAACAGCATTAGTTACCTAAAAAAAAAAAGTTTTAGATAAGTCTGTTTAAATAATGACATTTACTTACAGCCTTATTAAGTTGTTTAAACAGATGATCACGCCATGTCACCAAAGCAAGCTGATAGATTTCATATACATACTTCCTACCTTCTTCGCATTCCCTTTTAACCCAGTGTCGATTTAAATAAGCACAAACACCATCAAGCACCTAAAAATATTTATTTATTGATATCGTCTTCTTTATAATGGAATCGTGAACAAACCTTGCTACAAAACTGGTAGTCTTCCCATTGCACTGTATAAAACTTTAAAACGTCTTCATCCATTCTATGTATGCCATCCTAAACAATTATACAAAATAAATTAAGTTTATTTATTTTGTAGTAATTATTAATTACTACAAAATAATAATAGTTTTAAATAATTAATTAATATTAATTATTTTGTAGCATAAAAAAAACATGTGCTTACATCTAATAATTTTATTAGGTAATTTTTTAAAAATTCCTTAAGTCTTTTGTATAATTCCATGCCTACAAGTTGAGCACCTCCACCAACAGTATTCTTTTTGTTCTTTGTGGACGAATTTGCTGCGCCTCTACCATTGTTTTGTTGTTGATGAACTGATGTACAATAGTTATAAACATGTGTGTAGAGCTCCATATATCTGTAACATTTATCATAACATTCATAACTAAAAAATACTCATGGATATAATATACAAACCTTTTCTTAGACATGTTCTCTCGATTGTACACTTGCCTTATACCTAAATTTAAGTCTCCCCATATTTGGTCTAAATCAATAACTGTTTTCAAGCCCGTGTTATTTATTGAGTTTATAGAATTCTTATTCGACATTGCCCCGATGTGTGTGGTTTTAATCTAAAATGAACAATAACAATGATATATCAATCTACATGTTTATGTCACATATTCTGTAAGAGTTAAAAACAGTTAAAAAGTAAGAAAATCTTAAAAGTATACAAAATGTTAATTGTGGTAGAAAGTTGATAGGTACTAGAAAAAGTTTATATAATAATGATGAAAAAACGAAACATTTTTAAAAACAATATATGAAAATATATACCCTGAACTGGTATTAATAAATACTCTATATAAATAATATATTATTTCTGGAATTATATCTCAAGGAATATTTTGGTGTTTTGATAGACATTTCTTCACCTTTTGTTTGCAATTATCAACTTTCTTTTTTTCGTAATATCCTTACAAACCAACTTACCAGTCTTTTTATAACATAACAAAAATTTACACGCTATTTACAGGAACCAAAGAAGTCTAAAAACTCTTAATTTACAAAAAATTACGGAAAAATTAAACGAATTTTATTTATTCCTCTATTTTTGGAGCACGAAAAATTGACAGGATGACTTTACTGAAGTCAGCAGCAGCGGCTGCTACAGCGTTGCCAATCGTTCCCGAGCAGTCGAGTCGATTTACCGTAGCAAATGGGCGCGTTCAGGATTCAGGATTAGAGGTGGGCCAGTCTGCGATTTTTGTGGAGCTGCTACGCTCTGCGACTGCTCCAATAAAAGCACTGTGACAAGTAGCAGCGATTTTTCGGAGCAATTAACCTATAAATTAAAAATGTAGTTTTATAGGTTAATTGCTCCGAAAAATCGCACTCGGTGTTCGGCACCGTTCGTTGCATTTACTAAAAAAGTACAGGACTATAGGTGTGATTATGATAGGCAACATCATCGTCAGTTTTTATTTATTTATATCATATGATCGAAAAAACGGCGTCAGCGATAGCTATGAAAATGAAGATTGCTGGCATTTTATATGTAAAATTTATGGGGAATGTTATCGATTGTCATTTCCAAGCCAACTGGACGCCGTTTTTTATTTCGATCAGTAGTGGCGATTTTAACGTCTGTGCAATCGGGGTAAGTCACCGACGGGCCCCAAGCCTCCCGGGCCCTTGCGAACAAGATTCGAACTTTTCCGAACTACGGGCCCCTAGAGCTCTTAAAATCGCGGCTGTACGGTACTATACTGATGTCTTAGTTTGATAGATGTTGCTATATTTTTTTAGTCTATTCAGAAGAATTTGAGTGTTTCTAAGTACCAAGCACTTTGCTATAAATATCTTAAAGAGTCTGTTCATTTTCACAGAGTGGTGGCCCATGGTAAAAACTTAATGTTATATTCAATTCAAAGTCGAAACTGTCAAAAAAATCTTTATTAGTGACCGGTTTCGGCTATTTAGCCATCATCAGACCTTAAAAATAGATATAAATAATAAAACTTATATGAATGTATAAGATCAAATAAAAGATTTAGGATATACAACAAAACACAGATACAAAATTAACTAACAAATAAACATACTAACAAGTTAAAAATTACCTTTGTCAAAAACATCTGTTTGTGATTAATATATAATACATAAATATCTTATTTAGATTCATGAAAGAAAAAGCGAACGCTGCTACGTTTCCCGTTCCCAAACTCCCAACAGCTCCAGTACACAGAATATACTCAATATACTATGCTCCAGTCGACTGCGACCTGCGACGACTGTGACTGGAACAGTCTGACGGGCGACGGGGCTAGGAGCATTTTCAGAATTTACACTATTGCCTGCTATTGCTCCTATTGCTACTCACGAGCGCAGATGTCCTAAACTTGTAAACTGCTCCGAAATGTCACTGCGATTTTCTTGGAACTGGAGCAGTCACATACTGCGACGTTGGTGGAGCTGTGACAAAGTAGCGGACTGCGATTTCACAACCCACCTCTATTCAGGATGCGTTCAGGGAGGGTCAGCGGCTGAGTGGCTGATTAATTTTATGGCTGAGTAAGATATCCCTGAAGTTTCCTGAACGCGCACAGTGGCGATGCAAAATTACCGTATTTTTCACCGTAATTATCGCACATTATTTTAAATACGCTTTAAAACTATTAGTTCCAGTAATGGTGTATTTTAAGTGCCTGACCTTGAGACGTCTATTTGCTGCATTTGCTAACAGATACAGAAAGGTAGAATATTTTTGGCAAATACAATCTACCTATTTTCTAGGCCTTCTCTGGGCAAATACTGTTCGTTGTTGCGTGTAAAAATAGACCGAGGCACAGACTGAAGGGAAGTCGCTTACTTAGCCTTTAATAACCGTGTGAGCGTTCAGCGTTCAAGGAACACAGCGGTTGGCCGACCGCTGAGTAGGTATTTTGCTCAGAGGCTGACTTTTTTGAGTGTAAAACGAGACCGTTTAGGGAAACCACCTCAGCCGCTGACCGTCCCTGAACGCGCCCCTTGTACTCAGCCGCTGACCATCCCTGAACGCGCATACCGGCGTACCCTGAAGCACTTGAAGATACTTATAACCATCTTATAACTTATAACGTAATGTTGAACGATCGCAGAACAGACAGTAGACTACTGGTAGGCATGTGGTAGACTACTGTCAATAGTTCAGTTTTGTATTCTGTGGAAAACTGACAGGCCCACTTAAACAAACTGACAAAACTGACGACAAATGTTGACAGAGGACAGAGCTGATAATTAAAATTCCGCGGGAAATTGGATGCTCTAGTCTGCCTTTTAGTTTATTTTATTATTTTATGGCTCTGATTTGGATTTAGAAACAAAACGTTCTGTGAATCTCAAATCTTGTTGAAATATATATATATATATACCTTAAAATTTAAGTCTACAGCGTTTTAAACGCCAGCATGGGTATTTTAAATTTGTCAAAACTTTTAGCAGATATTGCTCCACAAGCTATTAAAGAAACTGATATTAAGACATATTTTGGTATGGAATTATTTTGGAAGTGTGCAAAATATCTTCTAATTTTATAACTTGCAGGGCGAAAGATAGCTATCGATGCATCTATGTCTCTTTATCAGTTCCTCATTGCAGTAAGGTCAGAAGGAGCTCAGTTAACAACGGCAGATGGAGAGACAACATCTCATTTGGTAGGAATATTTTACCGAACAATCAGACTTCTCGAGCATGGAATTAAACCTGTGTATGTTTTTGATGGTAAACCACCAGAACTGAAAAGTGGTGAACTTAATAAGCGTATGGAAAAACGGGCCGAAGCACAAAAGGTTTGTTTTTTGATATATTATTATTCATTTTGTATTGAGATATTGTTGTTTAGATGTTAGATAAAGCAACTGAGGCGGGCGATACTGCTGAGATGGATAAATTTAACAGAAGATTGGTAAAAGTTACTCGTAAACACAATGATGAAGCTAAGCAGTTATTAAGTTTAATGGGTGTACCATATATTGAAGCTCCATGTGAGGCTGAGGCTCAATGTGCAGCTCTGGCAAGTTATTTATGTATTTTTTTATAGATATTATAATAATTATTTTAGGTAAAGGCAGGGAAGGTTTTTGCAACAGCAACTGAAGATATGGATGCTCTCACATTTGGTTCGACTGTCTTATTGCGTCATATGACTTATAGTGAGGCAAGGAAGATGCCAATACAAGAGATACACTTGGATAAAGTGCTGGAAGGCTTGGAACTCTCACATAATGAAGTAAATAATTTGTAAATCATGTTTTATTATATTTTATTTTTTTTTATAGTTTATAGATCTCTGTATATTAATGGGTTGTGATTATGCAGACAGTATTAGAGGTATTGGTCCTAAAAAATCAATTGACTTAATAAAGCAGCATAAGAACATTGAGACAATTTTGAAAAATATAGATGTAGAAAAATATCGTCCTCCTGAAAACTGGAATTACCAGAGTGCCAGAGAATTATTTTATAACCCAGAAGTAACAGATCCAAATAAATTTGAGGTATTATTTCACTAATTCGACGCTTTCACTAATTCTACTTAACATATTCACTTGCTTTTTTTTGTTTTAGCTAAAATGGTCTGAACCTGATCAGGAGGGCATGATTAAATTTCTTTGTGGTGACAGACAATTTAGCGAGGACAGAATAAAAAATGGGTTTAGTAAATTGGTGAAGGCGCGTGGTACAAGCACTCAGGCTAGACTGGACGGTTTCTTTACAGTTTTGGGGTCTACTCCAGCAAAAAGGAAACAGGAGGAGAAGAAAGGTACACCAAATAAACGAGGCAAAGTTGGAGGTAAAGGTAGAGGAAGGCCCAAATAAATTTTTCTTTTATTTATTAAATTTTCTCGATAAAATATATAAAGTCTCGAGGATATGAAATACACCCCTAGGCAAAAAATTTCACTATATACCCTTGATTTTTTGTCAACATTTTAAATACATCTAAAATTACAGCAGTCAGTTTGTAAAAAAAATATCCTCAATTTTCCCATAGGTTGTTTTGCAATTATAATATTAATAATAATTTATTCATGTCACAATTACATCATAAAATTGGTCAAATTTTCCATATAATAATTAGTTAGACAATACTGCCTGACGCTGCAATAAAATTGCTACATCCGTTGAACTAAATTTCCTAAATCTACTAAATATAATAAATTATAATTAAATAATGTTACGTTTTTCGTCGGTTCCGTGTGGATAAAAAGTCAAATTTATTTAAACACAATTTATTTTACACTAAATAACAGAACAATAAAGATAAAATACTTATAGAACTATTTACAAACTTATTTACAACTATTTATCTAAACGGGATTTTTTTGAATTTATTTTAAAAGGCGTGAGCACGACTATCGTATCTGATTGTTTCTGTCCTGGTACCGGCCTCGGTTTATATACCCAAAGACAGAGAGCCTAGAATAATCCAGTCTTTGCTTAGCCGCTGTTCCTTATCTTTCTCGTGAGTTCGCAAGGTCGAAATAGGGGCAGGGCATATTAGTCCGAGGGCCGAGTCCTCAAAAATAATATAATAATATATATAACAAAAAACAATGTTTTGATTATACACCTGTATAATACAACATATACAAAGAATGTTATTATAATAGTAAATAAAAATGCAGTAAATAGACCTACAAACTGTAAAAGAATCATGAAAATCAGATGAATAATAACAAAGTTATAAATCATAAAATTGGACACAAATTTTACAGTGCCCGAAATATTTTGTCAGGGGATGTGTATACAATAATTTTTCTAATATAAGTTATTTTTGTGATTTCCGTTTTTATTGTTTAATGCAAATAAAATTAGAATCCTCATTTGTTGTTTTTTTTTTTATAAATCTATTTTTTCCTCGTTATTAAGTGACCTCCTACTTCCTCTAGGAGATACGACACCTTGTCGTTGGTGGGGAAGCTCCTGTCAAGTGCTAGAGGGAATTCCCCCTAGGAATTCTCTCTCCTTTTTGGCTGGATCTAAGGAGCATCTGTCTTGTCACTGGCTTGTCGTGGCTAGGAAATTGTAACAAGACGCATAACGATGCCGTATGGGAATATCCTGTCCGTCATTCGAGGGCACCCTCTGTGGTCATGTCTCACGTGGAGTGGATACGTGGCTAGATAGAAGACTAGCCTCTACTGATCTCAACCTTGGGACACCAATGGGTATCCCGTTGTATTTACTCCTTTCTTCGACATGCAGGGCTCTGTAGAAGTGGATCGACTAACCCATGCGGTAAAGCTGGAGGGAAACTCCTTAGCAACACTGAGAACATTAACCGTTCATATTCGGCGTATATTGTCTTCTTTGGAGAAACACATATTTTGTGATTTAGTCAAGGCCTTTGATTGCGTGGACCATAGCATCCTGTTGTTCAAGCTGGAAATATATGGATTCAGGGGTAAGTGGTTTGAAGTTTGAATCATATCTGTCCAATAGAGAATTCAGTTGGAGACAGTTCATCCAGGAGACAGGTCTTAAGTTGTGGCGTTCCACAGGAGTACTATGTCCCATTTTGTTTCTTATATATATATATATATATATATATATATATATATATATATATATATATATATATATATATATATATATATATATATATATATATATATATATATATATATATATATATATATATATATATATATATATATATATATATATATATATAAATAATATATTAATATATATATATATTATGTGGTAATGATGACATAACCTCAAATACCAATATAGATTTAGACTCCGAATGTGATATGGGTTTGCCAAAACCAAGCTTCTCAAAAAAGTAATACCAAACAAAATGTGTAGCTTTAGAAAATGAAAATCTTGTGGAATGTTTACTAAATAGTAATAATGTGAACTTCCAATGATCTAACTAGTCATGTCACTTTGAAGTTTCTTTTACTTTCCTTATTTATCAATTAGTAAAAGACAAAATTATATGATAAAGATCAACTAATAGAAGAAATTACAGATAAAAATAATGTCTTAAAACAAAACATAATTTTGCAAAATGAAAACCTAACTTTGATTAAAAGAGAAACTAGTTAATTTAGAAAACATCAAAAATCAAATTGAGATGAAATCATTTGCAAAATCCTTTAAAATAACCTATAACAAATTTGAAAATACCGAGATTGTACCAGCTATTATCGTCCAGTGTAACAAAAAAAAACAAATAAACAATGTGCACAATATAGTGATTGTGGAATTATGTGGTAATTTGGGTATGTTCGCCGTGGAATATAATTTTGGACCATTGGCAACGCTGGCTAAAACTGCTTCCTCAAAAAAAGTAATACAAAACAAGAATAAACTAGTTTTAGAAACAAAAAAAAATAGAAGAATGATAATAAAAAGTAATAATAATCCTTCCAATGATCTAACTAGTCATCAAATGTAATGAAGTTTCTGGTTATTAAAAGTGACTCAATTATCAATTTGGTCAAAGACAAATTAATGATAAAGATCTGTCGAGGTAGAAGAAATTATATAAAAATAATGTCTTAAATAAAACATGATTTGGGAAAATGAAAACCTAACTTTATAAAGAGAAGATAGTTAATTTAGAAAACAAAAAATCAAATTGAGAAATGAAATCATTTGCACAAGCTACGAAAGTAACCAATAACAAATTTGAAAATACCGAGATTGTACCAGCTATTATAAAAAGAACAAATAAACAATGTGCACAATAAAGACTAAACAGTTATTACTCAACAACACAAAAACTATCCATAAGTAAGAAGGCAACAAATATTAAGGATAAAATTATCATCAAAATGTAATAGATCTATGGATATTACTGAAACTAAAGAACTACTAGGGAAAATTTCTAATGATGTGGATTTCTCAATAGAGGTTGAAAAAGTAATAATATAAGAATCAAAGTGATAAATATTAGATTATGATTTGGGAATTTTGAAAGCCTAGAAATTTATAAAGGAAGATATCTTATCAAATGATCTGAAATTTGTTGTACTGAATCTTGGAACATTGTGTATAAATACTTAAATGAAGACAATAAAATATGGACTATTACAATGAAGTAAGTTCAATTCTTATGCTAAAATCATGTTATCTATATAAAAGTTATGTTGGAACGAATAGATGTCCTCGAGGGTTGATGAATTCAACTTAATAAACATATGTTACAAGTGTTCAAAATATAGAAATCACTTTGTGGTTGGTGATTTCAACATTGATTTGCTAAAGTATGGTCATTAGTAGTAAGAATTGTAGAAATAATGAAATATCTGGTTGGGGTTTGTACTCAGAATCATTCCAGCAAAAACACTCAACAAAAATACAGACAATAAATGTGGGAATTGTATTGATTTAATATTAGATATAATCAAAATAAATGTAATCAACCATGCAGCTAAAAATAGGAATATCTGCCCATCTTACAAAGCACTTCTTGGTAAATGCATCAAAAAAGAATAAACTATTTCAAGAAATAAAACAAACTAAAAATTTTAATATAAACTACAACATATTATTGAACAATGCATGTACACTAACTGGAATGAAGTGTACAATATGAATGATCCAGATGTTGCTATTAATTTTCTAATCTCGAGCATTAAAAATTGTATTAGTAATTCAATGATTGTGAACAATAAGAAAACGAGACATAGAAAGAACTGGATTACTAATGATATTATACAATTATGTAATAAGAAAGATAAACTGTACCATGAGTGGATTAAAGATAGAAGCAATGATGAATTAAAATTAAAGTACAAACAATTTACGAATAGGCTAAGTATAATTATTAAACATGCTAAAATAAATTTTGATAAGAATCAAATTAGAAACAACGCTAATAACACAAGAAAACTGTGGGATTTTGTAAATGCTAAAATATCAAAGAAAACCAAAAAAGAAACAAAGATTGACTATTTAATAAACGAGAACAACCAAAAACTTACTGACAACTTACAGATAGTAAATACAATTAATAATTATTTTAGCTCAGTTGGAAGAAAATTGAGTAATAAAATAGTAAAGCCACTGGATCAGTCATTGAGAATGCCAAAATTAAATAAGAAAACTATATTCATAGAACCTACCAGTCCTATAGAGATTTATAATATAATTACTAAATTTGAATTCAAAAATGGTGGAGTCGATATGATCAATACTAAAGTATTAAAAACCATTGCTGATTTTATAGTAGAGCCACTAAGTTACATATTCAACTTATGCATCGAGAAATCGACTTGGCCGGTAGCACTTAAATTAGCTGATATAGTTCCCATACATAAAAGTTCAAGTAAATCTATGGTATCTAACTACAGACCTATCTCTTTAATCTCGAATATTGCAAAAATTTTTGAAAAAATTGTTCATTCAAGAATTTATAAATTTATTATAAATTGTAATATTTTATCTAAAAAACAATTTGGTTTTATTAAAAGAATAGGAACTGCAGACGCTTTAAATCATATAACTAACATCATTTATAACAAATTAGACAAAAGCAAACCAGTATTAATAACTTTTTTAGATCTGGCAAAAGCCTTTGACACGGTAGATCATGGTATATTATTGGATAAGCTTTCATGTATGGGAATTAGAGGCAAGGCCAATGAACTAATGAAAAGTTATCTTGAGCATAGAAAGCAGAGAGTTAAAATTAATGATTATATAAGCGAGAATAAAGATGTAACTATTGGAGTGCCTCAAGGAACTATCCTTGGGCCATTGATGTTTATTTTATATGTAAATGATTTATTAATTGGCATACAGGATGGTTGTATAATATCGTATGCAGATGATACTGCAATCATTGCTACTGAGGACACTTGGGAGCAAAGTATTAAAAAAATGAATGAACTACTAGATAAGGTTGCAAATTGGCTTGCACTTAATAAACTGTCTTTAAATATTGATAAGACTGTTTTCATGACTTTTGGAAATTACTCAGATAGTGTTCCTAAATTAGTTGAAATAAAAATTAAAGACATATATGTAAAAAGAGTTGATTGTTGTAAATATTTGGGTATTATTTTTGACTCTAATGTAAAATGGGATAAACAAATTGAATATCTGATTAGCAAGACTAAATATTTAATTTTTGTTTTCTATAAACTAAGAAAATACATGGATGTTGAAATGCTTAGAACAATTTATTATGCCTTCTTTCAAAGTGTTATTAGTTATGGTATTATAGCATGGGGTGGTGCTTATGATAACTATTTTACGCTATTAAATACATTACAGAGAAGAATACTGAAAGTAATCAACAACAACTCTTTTGTAATAGACAAAAATCCATTAAGTATTGAACAAATTTATAACTTAGAAGCAATAACTTTTCACTATGAGATCTTAAAAAACAAATATATAAACTCCAAAAGTATTACAAGAAACAAAAACATAATTATACCAAAAAATAGCAAAAGAATAAGTGATAAAGACAGTTACATTAAAGCGATAAAAATTTTCAATCTCTTACCAACTGAATTGAAAAATTTAACAGTGGAAAAGAAAAATTTGAAGAGAACTATCAGGTTTTGGCTAAAGCGGAATACTGATCGCCTGTAGCTTAAGTTATAAGTAATTGATCTTTATTTTTGTTTGTATTTATATTTATTTTTGTTTCATACTTCTTAGTTTTTTAGTTGTTAATTTTTTAAGTTAAACCGGTCCGCGTACAGAGCTCTGTCTCTCTGCGGTTTATCATGTATTTCTACATTGTAAATTAACTGGTATTAATAAATAAATAAAATAAATTAATATATATATATATATATAATATATATAAACCAAACCAAACCAAACCAATTTCATCCAATGCTGAAAAATAAGG